GCAGCGACTTGGTGTGGTGGCCAATCCAAAGAAAGACTGTCCAGGAGTCAAGAAAATGGCTTCTGGTATTCTGGTGTTGGAGATGAGGAAAAGTATAATATGGTGATGTTTAATCACAGTTTATAGTATCGAAGGATACATTAACACTCTCTCATCATCCCTGCTAACAACATTTTTCATATGTAACTTCAAAAAAATGAATTGTCATCAAATATTAAGTGGTGCTTGTAATGCAGGCGATCGCTGCTTTGCTGTGGGAAGTGTTGAGGGTATACCATTTACGGTATGTTTGCAAAATAACATTTATTACTTTATTTGTTGTGTGAATATATCCTTATACCGTAAATATACGTAGACACTCAGGTCGTATGTCAAAGAATATTTTACTTGTCTTCCAAGTTCTTAAATCTGATCTGTCAGATCATGTGTAGCAGTTTTTTCTTCGAATAGTTGGGCTTGACATTTGATATTAGTAATAGAAGATAATAATTAGCCATTAAGAGTAATGTTATAATATTCTAACCTATTTTACTGTATGTAACAGTTTTATATGTATATTTAAGAAACCCCTTTGGAAAGTGGACACGTGTTTCTAATTATACGTTATTTAAAAACGTACATATTATTTTCGTTATTCTAACATATGAAGCAGTCGCTTCAGTTTGTATTGTACTGTCTTCAACATTCGTTTGCCTAGGTAACCTATATTCATTTTTGTTTACTCCGTGGGCTAGAAACTGTTCAAAGAAAATAAAATTCTGACAGGCATGCTGAATATATGTTCATATAATTTAACATGTTTGATTATTTGTGACAGATGTATTTATATGTTTCTGTGTAACATGGTTTCCAGAGTGCATTAATCAAACTGCATTGTAACCCATGTAATGTCATACATAGGGTTCAGTCATTATGCTGCTATGAACTTCCAATAATACTGAAGAAATAATTTCTTATATAATTTATGAAGAATTGGGCTGTGAAATTTAAATGTGTGCCAACTAAATTGTACAGGGCTTAACAAGCTTAGTTGTTTGTTTGCCTGGGATGAATAAAAAATTGTACATATTTTTTGTTAATATCTTCTTCCATTGTCTTCAGATATCATACATTAAATTCATAATTGCTGTGTTTGAGGGCATTTATTAACACAACATTGATATGTCTGAACATTGTCATGTAGGAGAAAGGTTAGAGCAAAATACAGTATATCACTGTGGAAATGATCAGTTGCTCTGTTTCACTTTGATTGGTTTGACATATGTAAGATGCCAATAGCAATGACTCTTCCCCAATCTTTCTTCACATCAGGTATAGTCAGTTGCTGGCCAGTGACACTTGTTCACAGAGGAAATGTTGGGTAAATATAGCTTTTATGTGACTGGTGATCTGAGCTGACATTTTTTGACTCCTCTTGTACATGTGTTGTTTCTGAAAGTAAGTTATTGCCTGTATCAGGGTACTGATTTTTATTGCTCCTTTTTAATCGCATATGAAATTTTAAGTAACTTTTAGTGCTTCTTGAAGTGTTTGTGACGAAGTTGACTATGGGTACAGGGATATGATTATAATTTGAGGTGGTAAAGCTTCAAGGAAGTCAGAAAACTAATTCAGAAGTACTAGAGTATGGTTACATTTAGTGTGAGTAGAGTTTGTGCCTTTCATGTTGTGATTTACAATTTACAGATTATATTTTAGTATAATTTTGTATGACATTTAATTGGTAGTGTTTGTATAGTTTTTGTTGTTCAGAGTACAGGTTCATGTGTAGAATGTATATGAATGCTTTGAATCTCAGTAATAAAATTTGGTAGCAAATATAGTACTGAATGAAACCATATAAAAGCAAAAACACTTGGAAACTGAAAACTGGTGAATGGAGCAGATTAATGTCTTTGGATGCTCATGACTGAATGGTACAAATGTAGATTTTGATTAATTAATTTTTATATACATTTCTTATATATTTTCTAAACTGCCATCACATAATCCTGAGCAGAAATACTGTTTGGTTTCATGTGTGTGAATTGATCTGTTTGCTTGAGTATTGAGAGAATTCAAGGGAAAGAAATACTGCTGATATTTTTCTGAATCTTAAGTTTTAGTGTATTGATTTCTCTTTATAGAAGCTGTTTTGTGGCCCAGAAAAGTATTTCTACACACATCACTGCCCATTTATGCAATTATTAACCAATTAACAAATATGTAATGAGGTGGTTAATGGAAGGAAGATTTAGAGTAATAAGTTTACTTATACAGTAACTGAGATTATAAGTTGAGACCACTTTTTTATGTGCATTACAGTATTTTCTTGGGTTAGGCAGTGTTTTATATTTGTCAGGTGGGATATAATTATGATATTGGTGTTAATTTGGTTGTTTTAGGCATATGCTGCTGGTTGCAACATTGTTATTTTGGCAAGTACTTTTGAACGTGTGCAAATTGTACCAGGTGCTTGGCATAACTATGTCAGAATCAGCTGTGTGGATTGTTCTACAGACACAGGAAAAATTGCTGCAGCATATGAGAATCAAGTTTGCATATATGAACCTACACCACTTATCCACAACACTAGTGCACATGTATGTATATTTAGTGCATTTCGTATTTAAACCAATATATGGCATGACATTTGGGATTTTCTTGGCAGTGAAAATGTGGATTTTGTCTTCTGGGTTCTAACACTTCGTAGTTGTTTAGGTTATTACCAACTTTCCTCCAAAACAGTGGAAAACACTTGCAAGATTAAATGGCATCACAGTCCAGAAGACCGCAATCTTCTTAGCTTGACTATTAAATATTTTCATGCCTTTCAATTTTCCAAATACAGTAACTGTAAACAGTTAAATTGTCGGCAACCTGCAAGTGGTAACTTCCAGCATTTCTGCTTCAGTAAGGAACGTTATCATATCTTAGTGCCAAATAAGTGTGTTGATCCCTCAAATTATAACGATATTATTGGTTTAATCTGATGTTACTTCTTATGTCTTAATAATTTGTTGTGCATAACACATTAAACAAAAATAGATGTTCTCATGCTTAACATTATGGTATTTAAATTAATTGGTCTGCTGTAAGTTAGCACATTTGAAAAGGTGATTTCAATATGTCTTTCTGCTACGTGAGCATTGTCTCGTTTTGTTGTTCAGCAACTGGACTACAGATGGGTGCAGACTGGCAGCTTGCAAACGGAATCTCACATCAGCTCACTCTCTTGGAACCTAGAAGGAACTCGTCTTCTCACTGGTGGGGAAATTCTGCAACTTTGGCATCAGCATGTTGCTTTGATGGAGGATGATTCTGAGACAGGTTCTGCTTTTTTTAATGTTACAGATTTGTTTCTGTGATAATGGATTTGAAAATGTGTCAGAGTGGTTTTTACAATTTGGTATTGTTTGTATTGAATTTATGTTCTGCTCTTTATATTCTTACGTATTTTTTAAAGACTCTATTGTTTGTTGTTTCTTCATAAACTATGATTTACTGATTATATTATTGCATTATAAAGAATTTACAAACTTACCTAAGTTACAAATAAGTTTTTCTGATCTTCCAGGAAATGTATCAGATGTCATAGGCTATACATCTGTATGGACCTGTCCACTGGCTCCATAAAGTAATTTTCCATATAGCCACACTGAGCATTGCATGCTATTGTATAATGATTAATATTTCCTTGTTATATTGACAAATTGCTAAATGAATTTTGTTTATGTCTTTGGCAGGCACTCTTTTTTGCATTGTCATCTTATTTGTTCCGCTGCTTCAGTATTTCATACAGTAGAAAATTTCTTTACTTCTGGTTTTAATTTTTTGATTTACATTGGTAAGAGATTCTTGTGCTGTAAATGCAATTTCATATTTTCTTTGATATGGACAGAAACTTTGGTTTCTAAGACATAAAAGTTCATTGCACATAAAATGTAAAACATTTGTTGGAAGGTTCTAACTAATCATGTTTATTGATTTTTGTAAAAAATTGTAGACATGTGACTGCACAATTTACAAATTATCTGAACACTGAAGTGACAGTTTTGTTGTATTAAATTTAATATGAAATACAAGCTGTAAAATAGCAGTCATATTTTGTTTGTACTTTCTTGGACTTGTTCTTCTTTTTCCTGACATCAGTGAATTTTTGTTAAGAATAAATCAGGAAGTTGTGCAAACTCCAAAATACTCTTATTTCAGACACTGTGTTGATGGAGACGGAGATGGTCCCCAAAATGCCAATTAATTTTTACCATTTGACATGGCTGGCATTCCTTAGAGGATTCTGTTAATTTCACTTGAATATAAGAGAGCTTGAGGGTTAGCTCGTATCTCTGAGATATATAATGTTGCAAAAATGTGTTATAACAAAATTAGGTCTCTGTGCTTTACATAACTCTGCTTTCAATTGAGATATGCCAGTATCATATCATTTACATACTAGTTAACATCTGGATCAAATTTAACTTAAGTGCCTACCTAATAGTAGACAAAATACATCTTCACATAGTATGAAAGAGCATTTTACCTTCGTGGAAGTTGATGGTAAAAGTTTCCCTTGTTTGCAGTTACTTGGCATGTGATAAGATGTTTTCAATACATTACAGTTCAGTTTGAGAAAATTACTACAGGATGATTTATAAGTCACACAACCTATATTGAAATATTTATTTATGGTTGCAATTCAGTACAGTTTGATTGGATTAATAAACACACATTGCTGTGACTATACAAGAGTCCACACAGTTCATGTCATGTTGTAATCTTGCACCAATCCGTCAGTTGATATCCTTTTCACAAGTGCCATGGGTGTTCATTGTTCATTCAGTGTTCTTTCGTACTTAACTAGCCAGAATGAGTTTTTACGGTACATTTCCTGATTCTCCTATGCCAAATAAATTAAGAGTTTCTTGTCTTGTGAACCATTTCCGATCTTTTTGATTACTCTGTATGAGTAGGTCAGACTTTAACATGAACACAAATTAGACATTTGAAATTTACTGTTTAAGAAATGTGTCCAGAAACAATTAAACATGTCATTGTAGCTTTTTGTTTGTGTGTCACTGTTGGTGCCACCAAATGATTTGGAGTGGTTTGTGGAGTCAGAATTCGATCTCTTTTGGCAAACACTAGATCATTACTATCAGTATCACTGTTATTACTTTATCAGTACATGCTGCTTCAACTGTAATTTGTAATATTGTAAAAACCGCGGGCCATACAACACTCATACATGCACAGTTAAACAATATCTTCACTAAATATTCAAGGTTAACTGGTCATAACTTTTTGCATTTAGTTGACCACTACAGTGAAACACACATTGGTCAGAGAGTAGAGAAAAGTTTTATGACAGAATCACTTGTTTGTATATGTATTAGGTCTTGTGTTCAAATCTTGGCTAGAAGACGCAATATTGACTGATGGTTTTTGTGGTTTTCCTTAGTCCATTAAGGAAAGTGCTGGGATAGTACCTTATATTAGGCCACTACTACCAGTTCCTTCCACATTATTTTTAATTAATTACAAACAATTTTATCATTTGATGCTGTATAGTCTGAGCTGCAAACAGTATCATTAAGTAAACTGTAAATAAATAAGACAACTTCAGGCTATGAGCACATCCTGAAAGGTACCGAAGTACTAAGAAAACATCAGTATAATGATTGGCTGCAATCCATGCACTACACTAAGGGCTTTATAATTCACTACATTAGAATATCAAGTGTCATAAACACCACTTACCCAGGTGTAATAAAAAATCATTGTGTTGATTGTGGTATGATTAAATGAATGAGGGTTATGATGTAATAACAGTTGTCTCTGTCTTCAGCTCAAGGTCCAGGTGTGACATTTGAAATAGGAGAGGAGACTCAACCACAGCAGCCCTCTGGTCAAGAGGAGGAAGATCGAGGATGGGAATCTGTGTGGAGTTGCCGCACTGCAACTCCTGTCTTCCACATGTCCTTCTCTCCAGATGGCACTCTCTTTGCTACTGCAGGCAAATCTGACCGTCTAGTTAAGATATGGTTTGAGAACAAGCAATGTAAGTATCATTATCATGATATTTAGATAGTGTCTCATATTACTGGTGTGTGTATGGTTTAATGTTAGGTCTGAATATAACATGTTATTTTATTTGTTTCTCTACATTCCATGTTTTACCATTTTCCATTACTTCCTTGTTTTTAGGTTCAGTATAGGAAACGTGATTTTACTAAGCCAGAGTGAAATATTGTTTAGTGAAAGTATTTAGCATTCTACTATAAATTTAATTTATCATTAGATTTTTAGCTAAATCGAGTAATATCAAATATAAATTAATGGCATTTTATTATTTTCCAGGTTTCAGATGAAATTGAGTTCAATTAAAAGGGGAATATTTACTGTTTTATTCATGTTACTGTTGTTAGGCAGAGAATATTTTTGAGTTACTGGAAGATAGAATCTCAGGAGGGAAGGAATTTTATGAAATCTTTAGTTTTATTGATGAAATATATGGAATGCGCGCTGGTTCGAGTCTCGGGGGAGAAGACATTTTCTCATGAACTTTCGACCAGTGTATGGGACTGGTGCCAACCCAGCATCGTGAGGAAATTGGGGAGCTACAGTGAGTAGCGTAATCCGGTCAGGAAAGCTAGCAATGGCTGGGGGTTCGTCGTGCTGACCACACGTCACCCTATATCTGATTGGATGATCGTTCACCTCTGCTTAGGCATGTGAATGTGAGGCCAGCAGTCATGCTAGTCGGCTTTGGCTCTCTGGAGCTGTTATGCCACGGATATGTTTTGACCTAAATAGTTCATCTTCAAGCATATAGGTCCAGATATGAACCACCTGTTACATAGATGTGTTTATACATAATATCATAGTGCTTGTAGCTTACTTAAAGGTGTATGTCAATATACATCAGTAACAGATCATTCACATGTAGATTGTACAACTGAAAATTGCATAGTTAGGTCAAAACATGTACAGTGAAACCTCGATGCATCGTTTTCGAAGGGGGTGGGAAATAAAAACGATGAATGCGGGAAAACGATAGATGCGGGAAAGCATTAAAATTTTTAAAAAAAACGATGTTTCTCTTTCAAAGTTACTTCTTTGTACCAAAAAAGTCTTTAATGGTCAACTGGTTTGTCGAAACTTTACGTTTTAGACCAAACAGAGCACTTTCCACGTTCAAAATGTTTTCCTCGTCACGTTCACTAATATTAAGCGCATAAAAGAACAACTTCACTTTCGCCAATGCAGCGTGCGCTTCGGCAAAACTCGGCAAAGCTTCGGGCTCGCATTCGTCGTCTCCCTCTTCCTCACCACTCCAACCCCCTTTGCGGACAATAACAGGAAGAATGGAAATACTATTACTGCCGAACTCAACGAAACGTAGCTGTAGAAGACCCTGATTTTTTTGTGCTGGTTGGGCGACATAACAGGTTACCGCTACTGTTTATTCCAAAAACATTGTGCGTCTTTCGGAATTAAATTCTAAAAATATCACGTAAATTTCGTTACAATTTCTCAGAAACGATCATTGCGGGAAAATTGTGTGCTGGGACTAAGATTTTTTAAGGATCGATGCGATAAAACGATAGTTCGAGGAACGATAGAAGCGGGAAAATGTAACATTATTTTATATGGGATGTATTCGGGACCGAACAAAACGGACGATGCATCCGGGAAAACGATAGTTCCGGGAACGATGGATAGAGGTTTCACTGTAGATAGCAAAATACTTGAATAAAAGTTGTGTAGTCATTATTTTAACATGTTTTTTATTGACTTATATATGCAACAGGATGCAATCCATAAAGTTATTTACTGCAAGGTTTATGTGTATTTTCCATAAATAGACCACAGGCATTTATGAAAACAGGAAGCTGTTTTTCATATGATATAAAATTATAAGAAGATTTTATAACCCTTTTTACTTGTAACATCAGAGTTTTCTGCAGCTTGAATATCCAGAGGATTCAAATACCCCTGAACTACTGAATACCCGTAATATATAGTTTCACTCTACTTTTTAGGGAGTTAAAATTATTTGTGCTAGATGGCAGCAGATCCCATACAACATTAAGTAATTCATAGCCAGTTTGGAGTGGCTAACAGTAATGTGATAAACAAATTATCAGAAAAATGTGAAAAAGTATTTTGTTATATGTTATTTCATGACTGGAAGATTTTTAGTGTGTCGATTGTGCATCACCATATGACAGAATGCAGTTAATGCACATGTTAGATCCACAGAAATACCATAAAATGAAAGTTAGTTATATGCATATTGAAATAAAGAATCTGTACTTTGAATATGTTGATCCGTATTTATTTTTCTGGCCTTTCTGTGTGTGTATGTGGATGATTGAGCGATCAGCCCTTATTCTGGAAAATTCTTTATGCTCTTGCTTTTTGCAATGATGATTGGTTTTTAGTGCTGTTTCCATCCAAGAGTGTGGATCAGTCGATGTCATATGGTGGCCCATCGACTGTGAATGAAGTCAACTATGGCTTCGTATACATTGCACACCCACGGGCTGTCACCAACTTGTCCTGGAGAAAAACAAGCAAATATATGCCCAAGTAAGTACTTCATCATAATTTTTGTTATTAGAGGTCTGCTGACAGGAGATGTTGAACTTTTGAAACATATTGTTAAAATATATTGAATAAGGTAGAATATTTATCATATTTATGTGGAATACAGTTGGTTAAGCTTTGAATTAATGGTTTATTACATCAAACTGTAGTGCATCTTGTTTATACGAGGGTTACTTCAAAAGCCATGGCAATTAATTTTTTGGGGGCAAACACATTATATTGAAGAAAGTTCAAAATATACATACACCTCCGATTGGCGTAGTCAGATCAGGTAGGTCAGGTAGATGTGAATGAATGTAGGTATAGTAGGCAAGAAAATAAGAACATTATGGAATGACCGTTTTTTTCATTCTTTAATCCTCGAAAAATTCAGTGTGAGTTAAATCAGAATTCTTACATTAAGACTAGCAACCTTCGAAGTAGTCTCCGAGTGTATCAAGTACTCGCTGCCAACGACGAGGAAGACGGTGAATACCATCAGCTTCACCACCTCAAATCTTGCTATCTCGCGCCGAACTGCGTTGGAAATGTCCTCTCATGTACGAAAGCATTTCCCTCGCGGTGGCTGTTTCAATTTGGGTATTAAGGCATAGTCACATGGCAAAAGGTCGGGTGAATATGGAGGATGGTGTAGTACTTCCCATCTCCAACGTCGTAAAAGGTTCTTTACAAAAACCAGTCTTTCCGTAATGTGCCTTGTGTATATTTTGAACTTTCTTCAATATAACGTGTTTGCCCCCCAAAAAATTAGTTGCCATGACTTTTGAAGTAACCCTCGTATTACTGTCCCTTTGATGACAGTGGCATTAAGCATGTGTGAAATGTCTGTCAGTTTCTGTGAGACTACACAATGTAACATCACAGAAGACAGTCACCTACTGTTGCAGTACTTTGTTAATGCTCAAGTTTTGGGTTTATTCCATTCACCTTAACCCCATACACATTTAGTAGCTGACTTTAATAATGTTCCTGTCTCTTCAAAATATTATGGGAGTCTGCACTAGGTCATCTTTTACCAAGCTGATTCTATGTTGATAATACTATTAAATTGATTTTTAGTCTGTATATATATCTAATATTTTTGTAGCCCATAAATTTTGTCTTTCAGATATTCCTTGGTTTTGTTCTTACATTTCTTCTAGTTTCTCATCATATGTTGTTTGTATGACCCCCATTCACTTAACTTGGATTCTGCAACCATTTCAATCTTAGTTTGCTTCTCTCAGTGTAATACGTTCTGTTACTCTTTATTAAACCATGGTTACTGTTTTAACTTCTTATAACCTCATCTTTATGTGGCTAAAGTTTTGGTAGTGTCTTTAAAATTTTTCCACAATTGCTGTTGTCCATATCATCATCTGAGTTTTCCAAAACTGCAAACCTGTTTGCAATTTTTATCTGATATTATTATATAACTTGTACATTATTTAGCTGTTTGAGATCAAAGTATAAATATATTTCATAAGCAGTACACTGTGATTAACTCCATTGTATAATACCATTTTTGTCAATAGAGTGTATTTTAAGAAAAACCTTGGCAAAGAAAGATACTTCCACTAGTAATGAATTTTGTTTGCTTTGCACATTGCAGTGGAAATATATGTATTACTACAGTGAAAATTCCTGTAAAAGAGTGTAATATTTTAGTGTGGTATATATACTTCAGTTCATGAGATACTTATTCACATTGTAAAAAGGATGTACTAGTGTTGCAATATCATTCTAATTAAATTCTACATGTTGCATAACATCAAAGAAATGTTGCTGCCATAAGATTATGTGTTGCAGAGGTTCCGTCTCCAACATGTTGGTGACATCTTGTCGTGATAACATCTGCCGAGTGTGGGTTGAGACAGTTCTTCCAGATGATGGCCTTGTCAACATGAACCAGTTTGATCCCCTTGCTACTCAGAACCCCAAGTTTCGCACTCACCGTCACAAACACCGCTTCATGCAGCGGCTTAAACACATGAAGTAAGCAGATTTTTTTGATAATTTTATTTATTGTCTGAATGAGGTATAGTAATGTCTTGCATGTTTTCCACTTTACATAATTTTTTTTAAATGTGGATTTAAACATTGCATTTTTGTTAGGGAATGTGTTCTGAAAAGTATATTCAAATAATAATTCACAATGTTATGAAATACTAAAGAAAATTAAATTTCTGGCAGAATGAAAATAAGTAGGTTATATGTAACAGTTTTGTTTCAGTTTTGTGTTGGATAAAATACTATAATGGAAAGACTGATTTTACACACAGTAGATTTTGAATTATAATTTTGGTAGGCAGTGATATTTATGGGCTGTGCATTTGTTTAATGATTGGTACCTAATATTCTGTTGAAAAATGTGTTAATATGTTATAGATTTAAACAAAATGTTATTTAACTAAAAGAATTGTAGTACATGCAGTAAGTCACAAGTGTCTTTCAGTCTGTCTGTCTGTGTGTCACACCTTTTTTAAGTATAATTGAGACCTGAAATCCATTGTACATGTGAAGGGCCATTTGTTAGTGCCAGGAAATCTATTGAGTCCCAGAAAAAGTGGCATGGGTTCTAATCCTGGACCAGGATCCATTTAAAGATATATAGTGTTTGTTTATTATTGTTGTTTTTCTGAACTATTAATGAAAGTCAGTTCTGTTTTTATCTGATAGAAGAGTCAGGTTTAAAATGTTGGTGATGACCAGGTGAATAATCATACATCTTTGTTGTATAATTGAATTCTTATTCAAAAACAAATTCTTCATTGTTGCAGTTTGTATCTGTTTTAAGGTTTTAGGAAGAGGAACAGGTTTTTCTTAAGGGGAGGGGGGGCTGATTGTACATTTTTAGTCTATTAGAAAGTAGGTTGCAGGGAAGAAATTGTAAAGGACGAAAGTTACATTTTTACAAGCATATGCTAGACCTAGGCTGTTAAGAATTTGGCCTGTGTGTCAGATTAGGCCTGAGGGACCATTTAATTTAGCCTTTGAGTGTCAGTATGTCTTTAATAACCTTTTTTAAAAAAATCTTACTGAATGTAACAATCATGGTATTTAAGAATTACCATACAAATGTGATGAATGAAGTGCCTACAATTGCATCTGTTATGCATTACAGTATAATTCATACTTTCGTATATCACATATTTATTCCTAACTTTAGAAGATTTCTGCTTCCATTATACTGAGCACACTTTGCATCACTTTGCTAATGTGGTGCTGCATAAGATAGGCCATCTGAGAGTACATATTCAGTATGTTTCTACCCTGTCATCTATTTACTATAGATGCAAGATTGATGATGAATAATATTAGGCTTTATTTTTATTTAAAAATGGCTATGTTGCCCTGTGGAGCGAAGAGAAAGTTTTATTTGGATTGTGTTTAACAAAAAGTTAAGTTTGAGTTGTTTTTATTTAATATAGAATCAAGTGAGAAGCATTGTGTCGTATGTACAGTGATATTGTGTCATTGTCCAGAAAATACAATTTTTATCAGAATTACAGTGGGCAAGCATAGGATTGTTTCACGTTGATAAAGTTGAAGCTGTAAAATGAGGTTTCTCATCTCTGTATATTTCAAGACAAGATCAGATGTTGACCTAATTCTTGTTTCTTCCTTTAAATTGTGTATTTAGATGAGTCTCAAACAATAATTTCTGTTAAAGTTATATTTTTAAGCACCAAAATGGTTGAAGTTTTTCCTCACGTACATAGCTTCATGTACTGTTTTGTTACTACAAAACTTTGAACATTATAGTGTGGTTGAATGAGGTGGAAGAAATTTGAAGTTTTATTATAGTTCCTTAGGTGTATGAAACTGGTTCCAAATGATGTGGATTGAGAACCTGAGCCACTTTTCAGAATAAATATTCTGTGTTGCTGAAGGTCTGTGTGTACCAAAACTCTAATCAGTAGTGCTTTAGGATACAAACTTCTATAGTTTTCTGTATGACATAAATGTCTTACATTTGTATGTTTGAACATAAGGTCTTACAAATCTTGAATTTGTTATTGCAGCAATAATTCTATGTTGCTGTTAAAAATCTTGGTCCAAACATTAAGATGTAGGTAGTTAGTGAGGTATAGTATTTCTTGTATGCACAGAAATTAAGTTATGTGAAATACCTGGCTATGAATGTGTTAGAAAAGTTGTTTGTAGTTGTATAATATGTAACATTTGTTTGGTCATAGTTTTGAAACAGACCAATGTGTTGGTTGCTTTCTCTTGGATGTCTCTGTTTTTGCTTATCCCAATTATCCCTGACTGATTTAGGACCAGACACCATCTTCATATTTTGTCATGACCAGCTGCTTTCCAGTTAAGTTTATGTCTTACAGTTCATGCAGTGTGTATGCTGACTGTACGTAAGTCAAGTGCTGAGAAGTGTCTTTGCATGTTGTATGGGACTGTAGTATTTCATGTGCATGACATGCAGTCATATGAACTTAGGCATGGTTCCTGGGGTTCTTAACATTATTTGTTGGAGTTAGCAACATTTGTTATTGTGACGTAGGCAAGTTTGGCGCTTTGTAATTTGGTTACAGTTAAATAAGAACTGATTGCAATACCATTACTCACAGTCTTCAAATGTAAGATGTCAGGAGTGGAAGTATATACTCAAAAATGAGGTACGCATATTTTCAAAATACATCCTTTGCAATCTTACATGCTTCGTTGACCTTGATTATTATGTCTTGGTGATATGAAGCAAGACAGGTCAGTGAATCCTATAATTCGCTTTCACGTTGTGTTAGTGCTACAAGCTAATTCTCTGCAATTATTTGGGTAGTGCCGCTAAAAGCTCTCCAGAGACCACCCCCCCCCCCCCCCCCCCCCATGACACCTAACTATGTACAGTTTTGTTGTTTTAAATCATGTCCAGCATATCTCTTTGAATTTGGCTGAACTCCTTTATTTTAACCATTTGCTTTATTTACATTTTAGTTTATTTTTTCCTATTGCTATCTGCATGACATTAACATTTAAATCTTCAATAACTTGATTTATATTGACTTTCATTATTTTTTGATGCAATTTCTGTTATTAATATTAATGTTGTATTTTCTTATAATAACATACTTATGATATCAATTTCATAATCTTCCTTCCAAATTGTGATTATTTTCTGCAACAGCTGAAAGAAAATAACGTCGGTAGTCTGTTCTGTTGGGTACAAGATAAAAATCCATTTCTACAAAGCTAGTTAGAGTTAAAAATTATTTTCCCATGTATTTTATTAAATGTTCATCATATCGAAAAATGTTTTAGATAAAGTTGCAGATCTAAATGATATTTAATTTTGGTCATGAATGATTGTTTGTACTATTTGCTATTTCTGAGAAAATCGGTAAAGGTTATTTTGAGTAAGAGTCATGTAAAATAGGATGTATATTTACAGATTACAAATTTAAACAAAATTAATTTGTTATTTTTGTGGTTTATTTAATGACGCTGTCAGTAGCTCAGACTATGTACATATAGTGTCAGATGATAAGATGATTGCTTAGTGATTAATGAATTGGAAAGGATATGGAAGGAAGTGGTCATGACTTGATTTAGGGTACTATTCCAGCATTTGCCTGGAGGGACTGAGGAATCCATGAAAACCTATCAGGGTAGCAGGTGTGTAGGCTGAGATTTGAATTCTGAATTTTCCAGGTACAAAGCAGGAGTGTAAACCACCTAGCCTTGACATTTAGTAATACAGATTCATCTGACAGCTTTTAATATAGACTCCCTCCTTACACCAAATTTAATTTTAATATATTACCTAGCTAATACATTACTTTTATGCATGTTGTGCAAAGAATGATCAAAGATGTCATTGTGTCTGGTTGAATTTCTTTGGGCTGTTAGGTAATGGGATTATGTTCCATTTGATATTGCTATCACAGAAAGGATACAATGTTTGAAACACACTATATTTCACTTTGTCTTTCTTGCTTCATATTATATATAATTTTAACTGCTGGAAGTGCCATTAAATAAACTGTGGATAGAAGGATAACTTGATTGTAATGAAGGACTAAAAGTTTTAGGCTGACCTTTCCTAATGGGTTGAAGGAAGACTGAAAGTGTTTGTGCTTGAATGTTGTTGGTGTGAAAAGAATTTTATGAGCTTATGTAATATTTAATTATTTTTATTTTTTGCCACTTCTTTTGTGTGGGGCTGAAAAATGTATCTTTACTGATCAATACAAGGTTGACATTATGTCCATTATAAGGTATCATAAATAATACATGAAGCATAAGGAAATCGTCACGTGATATTTTCCATGATCATTTCTACTGTGGGGCATTCACACCACTCAATTTTTGTGCATTATATGTTTAACTGTGTATACAGATTAGATAATGTCCTTTCAGTATTCTGTGAGCATGTGCTCTGTATTTGGGTTCTTTCTTGGTTTACATTAAATTATGTAATCCTATTTGTATAGGATTACCATTAATTTTCCTTCCAGCCAGTGAATATTTAAAGATGTACATTTCTCAGAGTCTTACTTTGATATCTAAAACTTGTACTTTTTGCTGAGTCCTTAGCTCTGTAATGTTGACTAAGCTTCAAGCTGAAGCTGCTGTGTTTGTTGTACTTCCTTTGATTCTTATATCCCTCTCCTGACTTGTTCTGGGTCCGCCACTAGCTTTACTTATATGCTGATGTAGCATGAACAGAGAATTTGCTTGATACAGATTTTGTGTGCTGGATTTCTGTCCCAGAAAAGTGTGGTTATATTGTCTGAATTAATAGAATGTGAGACTGATATTGAAATAAATTGGAAGGACTGTATATTGAAAAGGAAGTACCTGATATTATGCAGTAACTGATAACATTGGTTCAGTGTACAGATAACCGTCGATTTACGCCAGGGATGCGTTCCTGGACGAACCAGCGTAAATGGAATCGGCTTTAATTGAAACTCTTTTTATAATGTAAATCAATGGGAAGTCAATGACATGCGTTCCCGGCACCCAAACATTGACGA